CTTTCCCCAGTGGCCCCCCCAACCATGGTTTAAACGTTGGCACCGGCCTCTGCTATGGTTAACACTAACCAGGGTTGCCTCACCACCTGTTTCAAACTTGGGTTTCAAATCCTGATTAAGAGTACCTAGCTAAGAGGTCAAGAAATGTCACATTGGCACCAGGCCTCAGAGAAGCCAGCCATCACTGTTATGCTCCTTCAGGTCAAGAGGAGAGGGGGAAAGGAAGCAGGAGCCCCCCCCCCCATATTAATACTGGAAGCTGGTTTCAGTGCTGTATTTCCAACTCCCGTTTACTTACATGGCAATTTTAAAAAGGCAGGAAATTTAGAGGTGGACCTTGGATGGTGAAGGTGGGAGACAGTGTGTTCCTGTTCTAGACCAAGGTCTACCCTTTTCCTCTTTTCAGAGTGCCTGGAATTTAAAACAAACTCTCTCACTGGAAAGAGGAAGTCAGTTCAGAGAGTGTTACAGGAATGAGCATTAGCAAATCAGGGGATAATTAACACCCACTCTCCCCTAAACTGTGTGCCATTGCTGCTCAACCCCGCACAAACACTGCATGCTGTGCCAAGGAAACGAGGCCTCAATGCCAGCGTTCCCTTGGCAACCAGAGCCTAGGTCTGGCCTGACAGCAAGTTAGTTGCATGCAACTGAATGTGGAACCATGGAATACTTTTTCACCAGCATGCCAGAATTACACGGAGAGGAAGGGAAAGAACCAAGGACTCCTGCCTGAGGATGTGAGGACTCTCCCTCCTTTCCCATAACTTGTATCTGTTTTGAGAAGCTGCCCAATGGAGACTGGGCCCCATCCTAAACATTTGGCCTCCCTGACATGACTGGGAGGTACTCGGCTCAGCTTATATCAGGAGCAATCATGTCCCCTTTACCTTGGCAAGCAGCCATGAGCCAATCAGTCTGTGAACCTTATTTGTGGGAATGGGACATTCCATATGGATGAATAATTCTGGATGCACAGCACTCCAGAACATGGTTCAAAAACGTTGCTAGATATGCATAGTAGCATAAATGCTCTAAAGACCAGTTTTTCTGCCAAGAAAGCAGAATAGCTAACAAAGGCATGGGAGATGAAAGAGAGAAGAAAGAGCTAAACCTACAGTGTGGTATTTCAGGGATCAAATTACTCTTCCATTTACTAGGTCTCAGTCCATGTGCAAAGTTACAGTTGTGTTTGATAAGCAAACTAGGGGACGTACACTGTTGCCAAGAATTAAGCTTCCAGGGTGATAAACAGAGGAAATATCTCAGCAGTACCATCCTCACTGCAAGAGCAAAGGAAGATTCCATTAGGCAAACATTACCCCTGGTACATGAGAAACAGAATACTCGCATGTTCTCTTTTGCACATAGATGTGGTGACACAATGCTTATGGCCCCAGCAGCTGGTTGCACATGTCCCTCTGGTGTGCATGTACAGGCAGACTTCTACCCAAGTGACTGATTGCCCACACCTTTGGGAGGTCCATTGTTTGCATTTATGTAAACAGGTGAGAAAGCACGACATGGATGCAATTTACACATTCCTGGGGAGTATGATAAGAATGGTGGGGGCATGGCAGCAACTGTCCTGGAAGAGCTTTGAGAGCTACGACCTGCAGGAGATTCTCTAGTCGAGGTCAAATCATCTGCACTACATCAACTAGCAAGCATGAGAACTCTCTTGAAGAACACAGCTTCCAGAGAAGCACATGTTCACACTGCTTGGGTGTTGTTTTTTCTTTTAAAGGACAGCCAGAGGGTCCTCCCCCTCAATTTGAAATGTAGATAAAGTCAGCCAATTTCACAATTATGAAAAAAGAAGTTTTTTAAATAGGGAAATCCTTAAGCTCAGAGCAAAAGAAAAAAGAAAAGAAAAAAAGAGCAATGAAGAGGCTTTTTTTTCCTTTTGGAGAACAGCCCAGAGACTCCTGATTGTCCTTTTTTGCTTAAGCCATTAAGTTATAAGAGGCTGGAAGTATGAACTGTCTATGGAAGACTGATTCAAACACACCACAACCAGAGCCAGGAGGGAGCTATGGTTGAACTGAGGTAACTCCAGCAGGAGGGAATCTGCACCTCTTTTTCCAACAAGTGATCACATTTGGATTATTGAAAAACAAAACAGAACACAGCAGGGCCTGGTCTCTGTCACAGTCAGAATAATGAAAACTAACCAGGGCTTATAACTCTGCATATGGGGATCCCAGCTTCAAAGCACAACACATCTGTTCAGTTGCTGTTCTTTGGCACTTTAAAATACAATTCCCCCGCTTGTAACTCTGACTCCAAACAATTTTCCTTCAAAGAATTTATTCTTGAGGCACCAGCCGCTGGACAATCTCCACTGCTACACTACAAATCCCGCCTTCCTCGACCGACAGAGGTTACCTGCCTTTCATTGTTCCCTAGCGGCCAACTTGAAGGTATCTCTCTATTAATGGCAGGACTGATGTGAGCTGCAAGGATGGGGGCTGACAAGAAGATAGAAAGGTCCCTGGAGTCCATTAACTCCAGGCTTCTGTTGGTTATGAAATGCAGTAAATAGCTACTGGGACACTAACAGATTCTGAAATGATGTAGTAGGGCAAAGTAAGTTGGTCATCCTAGCCAGTATCTGTCCTGGTTGGAGAAATTTTTTTAAATGAAGTATTATGCTATGTTGGCCAAAATGGACACACACCAGTACAGTGGCAATAACACTGAATTTGGGTATGGTTTGTGGAAATTACTACAAAGTATGTACTCTGGTCATCACAGACCTAGGTGATTCTGACACTGTTAACAGCATGCCAGAATAAACCAGTGAGAATAATGCAGGACTTTCCATTTTGTGTAATATAAACTGGTTACAAAGGTTATCCTGTGCAGTGCCCACGTGGCAGCTCACTTCTATGTGCAACGAGAATAGAACCACTCCTCACTTCTCTTCTCAATTTGGCCCTCTCACTTTCTTTCTGCGATACCCCACCCAGCTACAAGCTGGGTGCACTACTTGCTCCTAGCAGAGGAAACATACTGCCCACTTTATGGATTGGGCACATCGTCCCCTCCACTCTTCAGGGATCTCACAGTAAACATTCCCCCCCCATATACTGTAAAAACCCAGCAATGATTTTACAATATTAAGCAAGGAACAAGATTTAGATGTGCTGTCCAATAATCAATCTTTTCATGACATTTTGAGAGAAACGTAAATGATACACCACCCAAAGGGCTTCCGGGCTTTGAGGAAAAAGCAGGCTTGCATGCAAACCTGGAAATTCAGAGCAGCTTCACAATTTACATGATCATTATCAGTGTCGCAGCTATACTGGTGTTCCCAACAGTAATCACAAAGTGTGATGGGCACCCCTCTACATGCAATGGATTCAGGGCACATTTTGTATTGCTATGCGAAATGATTCTCATGCTGTTACTTTAAGAGCTTGGAGCGCTGAGCGGAAAGGAAGTCTGTGGAGCCTCCCATCCCACAACTCTAGCAGTCCTTTCACTATATCGTTTGTGAATTCCCCAAGAGACAGGCCACACTGTTATCAGCCTAGGAGCACAGGGTTGATTTAAAAAAAGTGGTATTGTGCAAAGCCAGACCCTTTGAGCCAACATGGGCAAAAATCTGCTACAATCACTGAAAATTTAGCCTGAGGGTCAAACTGCTGACCCTTCTAGTGTCACATTTTAAGACTATGTTTTCCTTCTGTAATGCAGACTGATTGTGCCCCTCGAGGTTATTGAGAGGTTTACTGGTAGAAGATCAGCAAGAGACCTTTTCAGGTATGGTTGTCTACCTGATGTGGACCTCCCCCAACCCAAATAATGGGCACCTATTGACAGCCTGACACCCACCCATCCTCATGGCAAATGCAGGATATCCCAAGGGCAGCATATGGGTGGTCTAGCCTAGACAAAGGAAACGGTGTTGGTGCTGTGCAAAACTTCACACAAAACAGGACTTTCTTCGTACAGCTTGTGTTCCATCACAATGGTTTCCTTCTAAAGCAATGAACTGAGAATACAGGAGTCCCCTGAATGGATGAGCCTTAAGTCACACATAACTGAGAGCCCCAGCACAAAACAGAAATAGCTATTGTTATGCACTCTGTGGGTAGGCCAAGAAGAAGAGGGAGCTCTTTTTCAAAATATTAATCTTGTAGAACTTCTCACATTCAGATAAGGACTCTGTGACAAACTGCAGAGTTGCTTTCATGCCAGAGAAGCTGACATAAATCCCACCAGTGTGACATCAACTATGGTTACATGCCTGGAACAAAGCTAGCAGCCAGCTAAGTGAACTCATTTTTCTAATATAATGAAACCCCATTCAAAGCTCACCCACTAGTTTATTTTAAGAGATTCCCTTCCTCCCGGATTTCTGAAGGAACAGCAATGAAGACATTAGAGAGGGCAAGAGGAGAAGGGAGGCTCCTTCCCACCAGTTCCTTTGCACATTTCAACATTTGCCTCTGATAGAAGCGTTCCAAGAAGCAGAGCGTTTACCAATTGCCCTATGCAACATGCCTTTAATGGAAGTCAACTGCTGGAGCATCAGATGCAGTGAGAAACAGAAGGGGGAAAAAACCAGCAACAGCTGCAAGGAGAAAATGCCACTTTCAAATGAAAGATGCCACTTTAAAAACAAAAACAAAAAAACAAGGCTGACTTATGAGCTTTTTCAACAAATCAGACACCAAAGTTGCCTTGGGCTGTTTTTTGCTCCCCCACCCCCCCACAAAGTCTCCTTCCCTCTTGTCAGGAATGGGCCACCTGTACAGAACAACACTTTATATATGCACTAGCATTTAGACCCACCCCTAAATTAAAAAAAAAAGATGACATTTCATATATTGAACATAAAATTTAAAAAACTTACAAAATGGTCACCTCTCTTACAGAATGAATGTAAAGTGGATTATGGACGTGCCTCCAGGCTAAGTTGGTTTCACCCCCCAACCCCCTCCCCCTTCATAATAAATAAATAAAATTCATTAAGTTTTGGATCCTTTCGTTTTGGATACAGACTGGGCGTTTTGAACCATTACTGGGCTTTCTTCCCCGTCCCATTCTTGTCTGCAGAGTTTGTTGAGGTTAAGTTCACCGGCCCATCAGGGTGCTTTGAATCCTTGCGTGGTGGCATGCGCTCATTAATGCGGTCCAGGCCCCTGGCTTCTTCAAAGCTGCGGATCTTGTGCTGCGGTGAAAATCCACGGATGGCTAGAAAGGGTGGGAGGGAGAGGGGAGAAGAAGAGGAAGAGAAGTTGGATGGAGCTGCTGTTTGGCTCCTGAACAATATTTGTAACATGCTGTTCTGCTACTAAGCAGAGTTGTGGCTATGGAGCATGTGTCTGACTTTGGATGGGCAGACAGCGATACTGAGGGCTGTTTTACCACTGGGTGCTGCAAACTATTACCTCATTTATATGAAAAGACATCCTTTAAGCCAAGGCTGGAGCTCTTTGTCGTTTTTCTCCATAAGGTCAGGACTGCTTGTGAGATGTACCCTTATCCTACTCTGGTAAACAGGTTGGACAGGACCTTTGGAAAATTTAACTAGGTTTGTTTGTCCAGGAGTGAGAGTGGAGCAAAAGAAATGTGTGCCATGGAAAGATAGGCTTCTCTCAAACTGCTTTCAACTATCTTAAATACAGTAAAGGATTCTTAATGGCCTTTTCTACTCCTAAAAGCTCCAGGGTCTAATCTTGACAGGAACTAGGAACAAGTCAGACATGTGCTCAATAAACTGAAACATTAGTGCAGTGAAACAACAACACACTTTTGAAAGCTGAAAAACATAAAAAACCAAAATAATAGTGAGGACTAAATCAAAGCCACTTATTCTAACACAAAACCACCACACAAACACAAAAAACCACAAAGAAACGGAGAAAGCTAATCTGTAGATAAAAAAGACAGTATAATTTTTTTCCTCTTGCATGACCAGAAGCTGAGCACAGGAGAAGCTTTAGGTGCAGTAGAGCCCATAATCCATTTGGTACAAACTTGTGCTCTCCACCGCCTCAGTGTCCAGGCAGGACATCTCTTCTGCCAGACTGCTCCCTCAGATCCAAACATTAGCTGGATTTACAATTGCTAATTCTGTGACCAAGTATGCATTCTTCTGAAGACTTTACTCTCCAGACACCACTGTGTCCTGCCACACTTACCACGCACTTGGTGTAAATAGGCAGAACAATTTTGTTAATTCCACATTAAACCTTTAACCAGCCCATCTAAAAGCAAAAGCAAAAGTTCAACACTGGATAGCAAGAGACCAGGGTAGATGTATTCTAGGTTTTGGACACGCACACCATTACTGTGTTACTCTGAGTGCCCTAAACAACAATGGCTTTTTTTTTGCAAGACAAACCACTGTTGCACAGGTTCAGAGTTTTCGCTACCCCAATATGCTGTGGGTCATTTTAATGGTACTGAAACTTCTGGGGCACTTTTCCAATGTCTGCAGATAGCTGACCAAACCAGAACACACAAGAACTAAAACTTGTATGTTTCTTCTAGTATAGCAGCGTTGCTTGAAGTACCAAAGGAAGGAGCCAATCCCCTATGATAGTTCAGAAACAAAGAACAGTGGTCAATAAAGATGCAGTTAGCAAAAAACAGAAGTGCCTCAGGATGTATTTTTCATTGTTGTAACTCTTTGAGGCCTTTTGTTTCCCAACTTTTGTTTTGTTTTGTTTCCCACTTTTGTTTCCCAACAGAGAAGTACTGCATAGGGGTGCGTGCTTGGTATATACCGAACTGAATAAATACCTGAAAAATACTTATCTATATTTATTTATTCAGCTGAATACAGATCAGAGGTCTGTATTTGGCTACCAAAGTAGCCACATCGAAAAAAAAAGCTATTATTCAGCTTTTATTTGGGCGTGGCTGCTCGCTGAGTCCTGCTGTCACTTTGGTATGACTCAGCAAGTTCAGAAGGCATTTAAAGTTAAAATGCCTTCCCTTCCCTCCCAGAGTCATGCCACAGTGTGCAACTCCGCAACTGAAAGGAAGCGATTTAAAGTTGTAGCACGACTCCAGAAGGGATTTAAACTTTAAACCACTTCCCTTCACTTGCGACATTGCACTGCAGCTGTGGCACAACTCCAGGAGGGAAGGCATTTAAAGTTTAAAGCACTTCACTTGCCACTGCAGCACAACTCGGTGAGTTAAATTCTCCATTATACCCTATGGGGATGGTCCCCATAGGGTATAATGAAGGTGAATAAATTCAAGTTTCCCGAATATTTACCTGAATACCAGTAAAATATTGACACTGGTATTCGGGAATACCAATATTTTTCAGGTCCAATAGACCTGAATCAAGAAAACCCCGATTTTTTTTTTTGCACACTCCTAGTACTGCAATTAAGACTGACCAGCGGAGCCTTTATATTCTTACTTGACTGGACTCCCAAGGGGTGTCTTGTGTGCCTGTGTCCCCTCCCCCTTTAAGTTCCCTTCCACTTCTGGTAATGCAAGACTAAAAAACCTCTCATACTGCTGGAAAAAAATAGCAAACACACAAACCATCAAGGTTCTCATAAGATTCTAACCATACCTTCCCGTGCCTCTACTGCTTCTACTGTGGCTGTAATACAGAAGGAACAGTGGCATGCAAAAATGAAGACAGAAAAGAGTGAGTGAATTTATTACTTTGGTTGTTTGAGATCTAGAACCCTCCCAGGCCCAACAGGAGAGGACTGCAATGAAGACCAACTAGGAGGAGAAGGCTAGCAGTTGAGGCAGAAAGGTGGAAGGAAGCCTTGGTTCTCTTAGTTGGATGGGCAGCAAGGTGCTGTTTCACTGATGCCAATGAAAACAAAATACAGCTGGGTTCTCAAGACCAGGGCCTCTGAGATTGGACACAGCTTCTTCTATAAGTGCTTGGACCAAGGAGCAACACGCTCCTATTGCCTCATGCTCGTGAGTTCAGCATTATGATGGTAAGTATCTGGAGTTAGGAACATATTAGGTGATGTTTTCATGCCTTCATGAAAAATAACCATAAAAATAAAATGGGGATAAGCAGCCAAATCTAAGGCACTCGCCTATAACTGAATGAGAGCATGGCAGCACAGAATCTGCTTTCTTCGCATCTCATGCCCGGACTCAGTGAAGGCAAACTCACACCACATCAATCCCGTGTCCCAAAAGAGCATTACTGGCATGCAACAACACCAGTATGACCAAATCCTTTTCTTCAGCCACCAAAGAGGAGCTGCTACACTGTCCCACTAGGATTCCCAATAAGGCAAGTAGTTCCGTACAGCATATCTACTTCCATCTGGTCAGCAGCTGACAGTATCTTTGCCCCCCACCCTTTCATTATAGCCCCCATTCTTTGGAAACAGCTGATCTTTAACAGGTGCTCCAGAACCAATGCAAAACATTTGGGTTAATGTGTGCTTTAGCAGAATGCCTTTTAATTCACTTTGATGCTCTGTGATCTGTATTTTTGCAAGCAGTTATTTTACTGCATGTTACCGTAGAATAAGTTTAGGAGAGTTTTTTTTAAAATGTCTGGCTAACTCTGGTGGCCCATCCCAGGAATAAGCAACATTTTGACATCAACCTAAAATAGAACCTCCACATCCAGAGATAATATACTTTAGAAAACCCAGTATTTTTTGTATTATGCCGTCGGCCTTATACTTTAGTAGTGATGTTCTGATGCTCCAGCCACTTTGTGTGTCAAAATGGCACACTCTGAAAGGACGCCACTTTATAGTACTGCAATTGCTACTAACACAAAATAAGTGTGCAACCCATGCTAAAGCAAAGCATAGTCTCTGTGAGCCATGTCTTCAGACTGCACTGTTATCTGCTCCTGTGTCATAGCAGTGCCACTCACAGTCAGTGCTCAGGATCCAGTGCTCTATAGAAAAACACAAGAGAATCCTGTGGCACTTCAGAGACTGATTTATTACAGCACATGCTTTTATGGGCTAGAACTGAATGTAGGATGGGAACTCTCAGTCAGCAGGATATGCATATGCAGAAAAGTTGTGGACAGTGGGTTAAAAGGCCATGGCATTGCCAAACTTAAGTAGGAGACTTGATCGTTACCCTTCACAGTTGCTATAAATGGTCACTGTGTTCACCTTGCATACTTTTTGAGCTTCACATAGAAATATCACAGGCTATACCTCTTGGCTCGCTCATGGATCACTGCCTTGAAGTGGTGAGGGGGCTTGCGTGGTTCAACGAGGCTGTGGGCTATGCCGTGGAGGGCCACCCAGGATGGACAGGCCACAGCAGAGAACTCAGACAAAATGTGATCCACTGGAGAAGGAAATGGCAACCCACTCTAGTATCTTTGCCAAGAAAACCCCATGGACAGTAAAAACAGGTTGCTTACCTGTAACCGGTGATCTTTCAGTGGTCATCTGTGCATTCACACCCATGGGATCTGGTGCGCACTCGCTGGATCGATCGGTACTGTAGCAAAGCTCTTTTAACGGATTTTCGCGCCCAGTCCCTCGGGCATGTGCAGGAACCCCACCGCGCATGCCCAGAGGGGTGGGCGCGGACATCCCGCCAGTTCCTTCAAACCGCCGCAAATCAACCCCTATTAAAAATGTAGAAGCTGACAGCAGTGGGGAAGGCGGGCGGGTTGTGTGAATGCACAGATGACCACTCAAAAATCACCAGTTACAGGTAAGCAACCTGTTTATCTTCGACGTGGTCTCTGTGCTTCACACCCATGGGAGATTAGCGAGCAGTGGCCTACCTGGAGGAGGGTGCTGGCAGGTCCTTTACTGCGTAGCCGAAGATAGAATGTGACGTCCCATGCTGGTATTGGTGTTCGTACGAATGTCGAGGGCGTAGTGCCTGATGAAGGTGTTAGGCATGGCCCACGTAGCGGCTTTG